TTAACCAGGACTGCTGATAAATGATGGAGAGTGGCTTGGTGAGCTCCTCCGCCAGCTCCCTCAGCACTCTCGGGTGGATCCCATCCGGCCCCATAGACTTGTGAGCGTCCAGGTGGCGTAGCAGGTCATATAGGAAAGTAGCAGTACAATAAGAAAGGATATCCCTTATCATCCATAGTATAGGCCTCAAAGCAATACCAGCTCTGCAGGTGCATGTCTGTACACACCACATGTGCTGTATGCTGTAAGGATCAGACATGCAGAATTTCTACAGTGATACCGAGTGTTTGCATCTTCTTTGCAAAGAGATTTAGCTATGTGTCGGTGCTTTGCCTTGCCTGCATGTATTCGCCAGTACCATGAAACATGCAAGTTCATGCAAGCTTAAATCTGCGGTCCTGTTTTCCTGATTGTAATCGCATGACTTGTGTAAGACTTTCTTGATTCACTCCTTTGTTTAATCTTCTTCAATGGATTGTATAATATTTAGTTTGTTCCTAGAATGGAGCCTGGTCATTTAGGTCAGTGATGCCATAACTCAACTACCTCTCAGCTTGTGGTAGTTTGTACGTGAAGTCTGTTGCTCAGAAGGAAGTTGTTTAAGATGGGCAAAGTCATAGCAGTTAGGTGCGATATGCATCTTAGCTCTTTGATAAGCTTATAGAGCAGATATCTGTGGTCAATTGTGGGAGAAATTATTTTTCAGTCTGGGGAGAGGACTCTCCCATTGGTGATCTTTCTTTAGAGCCACTAAGAGTATCTGGACTGCATAAAGGTACAGGATTGTGATACCAAAAGTAGTGTCTGTGCATATTGGGTCATTTCTCCAAGAAAATCTTGTTTCTTGTGTTTGTTTCCATTAATTCTACCAGTGCTGCTCAGAAGCATGTGGATTTAGTAATAGGCTATTCTAATGTCTTTAATGAACTAAGTTAAGTAGTGGTTGAATTCCCTTCTATTAATGAAGACTGTTCATTGATAGTCTTCTATTAATGTTGGCGAAGTAAGATCAATATAGATACTGAATCAGGGTTCTGAAAAATATTAACAATTATTAATATTCTTTCTTTTTCAGTTTTCTCCTTGTGTGTGCTTGCTTGATTTTGTCCGTGTTTTCTACTATTCCTGAACACACAAAACTTGCCTCTGGTTGTCTCTTCATTTTGGTAAGTGAAACTTCTAAATACAAGACAGTTTTACAGATACTTTTATATACACTCAAATCCTCTCCCTCACCATGGAGAAAATAGTATAATTCCTGAATTATACTATTTAAGTATAATAAGAAATTATAATTAAGAAATATAAATATATAATTATATAGATATATTATATATCATATAAT